ACGACAACAACGACAACAACAACAACAGCAACAGCAACAGCAACAGCAAAAGCAAAAGCAACAGCAACAGCAACAGCAACAGCAACAGCAACAACAACAAAAACAACAACAACAACAACAACAACAGTCACCACCACAACCACACCCACAGCAACAGCAACCACAGCCACCACGACGACAACAACACAGCCATGGACCCGTGCGCGGTGAAGTAACCGCTCAAACTCAAATCAACTTGTCTGTTCTCACGAAGAAGGCCTTAGACCCGGGATGCTGGAAAGCTGAAATTCTATGCCCCGAAGACTTAGCCTGATGATGATGGTGGTGATGATGATGAGGATGATGATGTGCAGTATGCTTCGTTCCGACTGCACATGTCATACCCCGGCACTGCCCCGTTTTTGTGGAGATTGGTTTGGGGTGCATGCTACTTATAATTTCTACCTCCGGACTGCAACACCGTGATACTTTCGCACCAGCCGTTCCTTCAAAGACCCAGACCCTCAACGCCGATTCTAGATCCGGCAGTGCGGCAACAGACACTCGAGCTCTGATCAGGCCTTCTGCGCCCTGCAGCTAGCTTTCGACGTCCTTCAAGACGAGGTTTTTCTTCCCAACCAAAACCTCTCGACCTTTGCCACATATTGCCACCAAAGATCGAGGTCTGAAGATTTTACGGATTGGAGGGTCAGGCTAGGCTCTCGCACGACTTTTGGACTCTATGCTTGCCTGAAGCTCTTACCCTGAGCCTCTCCCGGCCGGGTTTGTGTAAACCGATGCTTCAGCCGATCGAGTATTAAGCGGTTGGAATTAGCAAGAAGAGGCTGCCTAGCCTTGACATCAGGGCCAGATATGTCGAGTTGTAGCCAAGACGATTGAGTTCTGCGCCCACTACATCCCTGTATCCTGCGATCCAGATGCTGAATGAGCAGGTGGAGCGCCAAGCGTACGACCGCGAGCTGCGAGAGTCGCGCAGTCGAGACGGCCAAGTAGGCCAGGAAGACTGTGGGCTGGTTGAGGTGCAGAGATTGCTCTCAAAGTCCCTGGTATGAAGGTCGCCGCAAAAACTCGAAGCAACTTCTAGCCCGGCGCTATCAACACAGCATCGTATGCCGATGCTCAACATCCAGAACAAGTTGACCAGATCAAGGATATATATATATATATGTGTGTGTGTGTGTGCGTGTGTGTGTGTGTATGTATGTATGTATGTATGTATGTATGTATGTATGTATGTACAGACTTGTATATATTAATATATGCACACACTGAAAGTGCATGTATACATAGACAGGCATTTCGTATTGACATGTGTACGGTATCCTTGAAAAAGTACACGCAGCATATTGGTGCCCCCGCCCCCCAATACTTCATCCGCTTCGGAAAAGTGCGGTACTAGTGCAACAATGGTGCAAGTCATTGTTTCATCGTGACAGATGACAAAAAAGCGCGCTTTGTCTCTATAGGTAGGTATGTACGTATGAGCAAACCCAATTTTGCACATGTGAACTGACAAGATGATTGAATGCATGGCTTGAAACATGGCTTGATCTGGCAGACAAACAAAAAACCACAATGGTTCATCTCACAATGAGGAGATATGCGACTTCACATACGGACGGGCCAGTGATTTGGAGCCAGGCCGAGCCAAGCAACCAGCACTCCAAACAACAAACCTCGGCTAGCATTCGGTCGTTTTTGAAGACACATCCCTCATACGGTATGTCTTGCAAACGGACTTCACGACGTTCACAGCATGGAACTCTCCGCAAACAAGACGGTCTCGAACAAAGCCTCACTGACAGGCCAGGCTGTAGACAGGGCTCCCGTGGTTCAGCCAGCTGCGGTCAGCCCCGTCATGCTGCGAGATGCGCTGACGGGCGTCTTGTCAACATCTGTGGGGCCTGTCTTCGGGCTGTCCTTTGGGGCCATTCAGGCTTTGGGCTAGAAAGTCCTCCGTCTAGGTGTTGTTGATGCTTTGGTGCCATAGCTCTTGCTCTACTGTTTGAGGCTTCCGCAATCTACAGCCCCAACCTGCAGCCCCACCTGTCTTCGCTCAGGCGAAAATGAAGTTGAAAAGGCGGTATCAGAGGTTTGTCGTCCGCTCTGCTTCCTGTAGGTGCGCGGGGCCCACCACGCATGCCATAATGGCGCACCTTTGGGACGTCAGTCTTTGCAGTTTGCTGGTGGGAATCAGGTGTTTGTCTAGCAGAATGGTATCCCTGTTGCCCCTGTATCTGTGCAATTTTACGTTTGATCAGACCCGTTGTTGAAAGGATTTGGAGCTTGGCTCCACAACTGAAGTACCAAGACACCTTTCGAACCGATCTCCGAAGGCAATTCGGGGATGTGTCCAAAAGTTCGAAGCCCGAATAGCCTCAAGCTGCTGTTTGTTGTTTGTCCTTCGATTCAGCCCAGCAACCTCGTAAGTCCCAGGTACTCCTCCGAGGCATTGGCCAGAGATGCTGAAGGAGCTGTTGACAGTCAACCTGAAGTTGTACCTCGGTCTCAAGTTTCCGAAACCTCTTTCGCTACTTCGGTCTCAGGGGCTGTGGCTTGTGAGGAGTTGGGGGATTTCGCTTGGGTTGGAGGATCACAGCATTGAAGCGGCATAGAGTTCGAAAGTTATGGTGTCCGCAACAGTGGACATGTCCTGCTAGTTTGAAGGTCACTGGTTTGCGTGGCAAGATACTTGACCAGCGATCACGATGCTTGTCCGGTCAGCGAACCTGCTAACTTTCGCACCCGCGTGAAATCCCTGATCTGAAGAGATTTCGCTTTCTGGCCTCTGATGGGTAATTGTGGGACTTATTGGTTGCTTGCTGTATGTCGTCGGCAGCATCTGTTTGGGCTGCAATCCGACGGATAGACAGACAGAGCGTGAGCTTTCTGAGCTTCACTCATCCTGAGTCGTTTGACTCGCAATATCATCCCCCAAACCTTTTCAGAGTCTCTGAAGGCTTAACGCCCCGGGCCAGGTTGCAGGGATTTCTCAACATGTCGCAGCAGCAGCAGAATGAGGTTGCCAAGGAGACATCAGTGTCATCACTTAGGCTGTCGAGGGCACCAAGGCCATCCTTTCAGAATGGGTTTCGACATGTTCGTTTTGTTCTGTGGGGGTGGGCTAGGAAGTTTAGTGGGGTTTACTTCAGGATCCGTCGGCGAAGAACGATGTGGAAAATGTCCCAGACAAGCGGTCCTTTATGGCCGATGCCCACTGCTACCCAAACCCCAACTCAAAGGAGGATGCCGGACTGGATCATGACCTTAGCTGCCGCAAAGGGTTTGCAGCACGACCCCAATACTTGCCAGCTAGGGAGAAGCCCAAATCCGTGCTGGAGACAGAGCCGTTCAGGTGCTTTGCCATTGAAGAGCCCTGTTTCTGGGTCCAGAGCCCTCTCCACGCCGCAAGGAGCACCAGGAGAGTCACCCGCAGCACAGCAAGGCAGGAGTGCCAGGCCTGCTCCAAAAACTGATTTGGTGTCGTCTTTTCATCGGGAGCAGCCAAGTCTAGACCCTGAAGCCGAGAGTGTTAATGCCCCAGACTATAGAAGCTTCAAAGCCCCATGGCAGGCATCTGTCGCTCGGGCAACTTCTACTATGCGAAAGCATCCCGTGCACACATCAGCCGCTCTGCTGAGGTCCTGAGTACAGGAACTGATATTGGGGATTGTGGGCCAAGAGGCTAAACTGGGCTACGATGCTGCGGGGTGGTTACAGCACGATTTGGGAAGCTCAGGCATCTCGTGTCCGCATGATTCCACTGGGTCAGCCAGGCCAAGCCAAGCCAAATACGATTTAGTTGGTTGTGATGTCACTCGGGTTCCATTCTCGCGAACTATTACTTGCGCTGTCCTCACTTTGTTCGCCCTGTTCAGAATCCATTCGAAGACTCGAAGACTACTTTCAAGCTGTCTCATTTGTTTCTGACTTGGTTGTTTCCCGGATTGCTTTATCCTGTGTCGCCATGGTACCTTCTCATGCAATGCCAAAGCACAGCGAAGTTGTGCAGTGATTCCGGGCTGCTCGACATAAGAAGTGAGGATGAGACGAACAGAGGAAGTGGCCTCGAGTTGCCTCCAATCAACTTCTTCGGATTTGAGACTCTCCGACTCACCGGGTGACAGAGCTCCGTAACGAGGGAAGCCTGTGCCACGACCCGAGGCATCAACTCCAAGCCTGCTACGTTGGTTGAGGCTATCGATGCCAACATTGCACTGAAACAGCCTCTGGCCTGCAATAGCTGCACAATGTCGGATAGTAGGACCTCTTAGGCATGCAGCAGGTAGGTCCCTAAAGCCCAAGCAAGGATCTGGAACATCGTGAAGAAGTATCCGGACGATCTCGAAGGCAGAATCCTATCAGCTGATGCTTTAATGAGCCCCAGGCCCTCGGTCACCAACCCAGAAACTAACTAACTAGCTTCAAGAGCTTCAGCTTCAAGCTGCTAGTTTTCGGATGCGTTCTGCTTAGTTTTGCAGCCAGAGGACTCACCCGCGATCCTTCTGATAAGTACTCCACTCGTGCCTCACCCCTTCAGAAAAAATGCCCAAGCGCCAAATCTTGTAGGTCCAGAAAGAGTCACTGGATCAGAAGGGGTTGTTTACGCATACCTTGGTGTCTGCAGCATTCTCGTACCTTGACAGCGACTCGGACAGTGATCCGGAAGGTAAGGCTCGCACGGTTCACTGGGTTTCAATTGGCATAACCTTGAGGGTTTTTAACCCTCAGGCTTGAGGGTTCAGTGTTTGAGGGGTGGCGACGTCCCGACGATCCAGGGCATGCGCACTGAACCAAATTCCAAAAGGCACTGGAGCTGCCGTAGCGACAATCGGGAAATCGCAGAGGGCTCCGGACTCGTGGTTCAAGAGATGGGAGCTAGGGCCAGGGTCAAGCTTGCAGATCAGAACATCTGCAAGATCTGAGTTTCCGCATCTCGACGCACTAAGTTTCAGTTCGACGAAACACCAAACTACCCTGAAGGTGGACTGCGGCGTGCCGTGAAAGAGCGCCGAGAGATTGACCAAGACACCATTTTCTTCATGAGGCCCACGGAGCGTCAGTAGTGCTTTATGCTCGCAGACTGGTAGAGCACTGCGACGACAGCCTTGATTCTGAATTCGATTGCATTCCCGCACTCTTGATGGGGTCTTTGCGGCTGGTATCTTGTTGCCTGTATGAACACAGTGTTTCGGCCACTGCTGCACCAAAGTTGGGCACGGAGAGTGTGCCAAACGTATGACGATCACTATGAACTGTTTCTCAAGGAAGTCTGCTGGGCACGGTGAGTATCCTTACCAGGACAATGATGTCTGTGCCTACTTCGGTTAGAAAATGATATGATACTCGATTATTCCGACTTTCATGGTATAGTGGCGACTCTGGCGACTGTGCTCAACGTGCGTAGTGGACGTAGCAATGAATCATGACGCTACATATGAGGATGGTGATGACGACGATGATGATGTGGATGCTGACGATGACGACGTGATGATGAGGACGGTGATGATTATATGATGCTGGTGATGATGGTGATGACTATGATGGTAGCGAAGATGGAGATGATGATGATGATGATGATAATGATGATGATGATGATGATCACGATGATGACTCGAAAACCAGTTCTTCCATACCTTATCCTCATACAACACTTATTGTCCTGTCGAGCTCGAAGTGTAGGCAAGTCTGTAGAACATCGGTTGGAGGGTCACGCTATCCCGTGCCTCCTTGTCCCTCAGCCTTTCGGATATCCCCCTGTCGCTGGACTACTCAAGACACTGAACCCCAAAACCCAAGTGGCGATGTAGGTATACGTATAAGGATATAGATGAAGTGCGCAGAGGTTCCGCTTGGACTTCAGATGGGAGAGCATCCGCATAACGACGCCGTGCCCGGGCAGTCGGGGCATTGATGGGTTTGGTGCAGGACTTGTGGTTTAGGCGACTGTACCACGGTGGACATGCTTCCCGTGCGAACGGCTCCATGCCTGCATGTCAAGTGGCTTTTCAGCAAAGCCCTCGAACTCAATGCGAACAGTACTGCATCGGCCCCAAAGCACGGATCGTGGAATGTCGAGGAGTTCGTGGATCCTTAAATACCACATGGTCCAGAGAGTCGTGCCGTCAAATGACTTTGGCTTCATAAAGCATAGCATGTAGTGGGCGCTCGCCCGTCGGGGCACATAGTCGTAGGGTCGCCATGCATGTCTGTGAAACGGGGGCGATTCCGGTCCCTTTTCCTCCGGTCTGGTCCGCGGTTCAGACAACGGTCCACACACACAGAGACAGGGGGGGATTTGACAGGCCGTGCACTTGAAACTTTCAGAGAGTGCCCGGCGGGATCACATGTTTGTTTGCATCAACGACGGCGTGGGTTCATCGACGCCCCGAACCTGAGCTAGCCCCCGCCTGTGGATATTTGGCCCAAAGCACCGACGAGCCCAGTCACCTAGGCAAAGGAGCGATGTTGAGAGCATGCTCAGAGATCGCCGCACTCTACTCAAGCTGGCAGAGAGCCTCGGCTGCGATACGATCCGTCCTAGGCCTAAGTTTGGGTCAACGAAGTGTTGAGCCAAAACTTATGTGTCAGGGATTCGGGTTCCCCCCCTTCAGTCTTTAGGGGGACGCCTGGACCTGGCACTGGCTACACTCAGAGCTTAGCCCGGAGCTCCGGATTTCCGCGGGCAGCCTGATGCTTCGTGTTCAAAAGCCCAGGCGCCGAGCCTCGAAGGAAGAATTCCAGAAAGCACAACAGTCCTGACCTCAGATCTTCCTTGCCGAGCCTCAGGGCGAGGTTCTAGATCGTCTTGACCCGTCAAGATTAGTAGAATGTCCGTCGCGGAGGGTTCACAAACTTCGAGCCGCAAGCTTTCAGCGCAGAACTTGTGAGCCCTGCTGTAGTTGGCAAGCCCTGTTTTTTCCAAGCGTTGCGGAACGCGCAAGTGGCGCCGAGAGAGTTTCGCAGGGCCATGAAGGAAAATGCGCAGGAGGAGCTGGTAGCAGCTCGGTGGCAATCAATGGGCTCTTTCCTTGTGCTGTGATGCGCTGTGGTGCGGCTTAGTCCTGGCCCCAAGCTTTGGAATCCTCGAGTTTTTCCATGAGCCTGCATGTAGAATTCAGCAGCGACGGAAACAGTTGTGTCCAAAGCCAGCAAGTGACTCAACACATCTTGAACATCCCGGGCGCGCATCCGAAGAGCCGAAACCTCGGTCTAGGTGGCTTTGAGACAACAAAGCCAGAAGCCCCTGTCCCAGAAGCGCCCGATGCAGGGTCGGGGCTCTGGGGCAAGAACTTCGTCAAGGGTGAGCCGGGCGAGAGATGTTTGCGATACACTTTATCCTATTGGCAGCCTCTCCGGCCTGTGCAGTGTGGCGAGTCCGCAACCACCCTTCTGTCCGGCCCGCAAGACCTTGGGAGCTCAGGCACAGCGGAACTATGCAAGCGTGCGGCAACAGCTTGTAGCAGAGGCAAGAGGGGTTCAGCAGCCCTCCAGCTTTAGTAGTGCAGCTGTTGGTGGGCGCCTGCATCTATGTCGGAATGTTTCATCCTACGTTTCAAGCTCGGGCGATCTCGAACCCATTGCAACGCAGGTTGCACGGGAGGTCCTGTGGCGCCACGCTGCAGACTCAAGGAGTTTGCAACTTGTCTCGCAATGTCCAAGACGTCGTGCAATGTCGGGCCAAAGATATCTCCACCGTTCTGCAGGTCACATAAACTGGAAGTCAACAAAGTCTCTTTTCCCCGGCTAGAGCTTGCAGTGCTGTCGGGTTGACTGCGTAGCTGCAGCAAGCAACTCAGTGTAATCGCAGTTGTACATAGGTCTCGTTTCAAGCTATTGCGTTGCGGCCAGATCCTCCAGCCTGAACTTCTCCCATCGCATGTTAAACGGGGCTACTCACTTCGTCTGCATCCAAGAATTGCCAGCCATTCAAGCCCAACCGAGTTCAGTCCCTGCCCTACTCATTCAACAATGCCTGCTTTCGCCAACGCACAAAGCGTCATGTCCGAGGCTGTCGTTGAAAAATCATGCGGATGAGGCCTTGGGCGAGTAGAGGGATGAATCCTTCGGGCCTCCGGTGGGGGGGGGGGGGTTCGGGTTGCACGCAGAATTTCCACATTTTCATCCATGCACGAGCACGGCGAGCTGGTTTGCTTTTCCTTCTTCAAGCGCCGAGCCCGCCATATTACCACCACAACTCACCCACCAGCCTCAAGCCCTGCCATCAACATGATCACAATTTCTGCTACCCTGAGGCACGCCTGGATTCGCGCACGGCCACGGATGGTAATGATGCTGGTAGCGACAGTCATGCTTAGCTGTTCTGTTGCTGGCAGCGTAAATTGTTATTGAAAGCTTCTGTAAAGCGTGAACTGACAATAATAGGACACCATGTTGGCTAACCCGTCCGATGAACCCTTCGTGAGATGGCTATGAACTGTGTGAGTGTACAGGGCGAACAGCCAAAGCCACAAAGACAGCACTGGTAGCGCTAGAGTAGCATGCAGAGAGAAAACGTACAGGTAATAAACCGGAGGTGAGACAAACGATACGCAGTCGGGGGTGGGTAGTACAACTAGGCAGATGTTGTTGATCATGTTCCAGGTCAGTCTTAGTCGAACACACATTGGCAAGATTCCTGCCGTCCCCCTTTGCCCGCAGGCAGCGTCGGACCCTGAGAGCGGAGTCCTCAGACACGTGCAGTTCATGGAATCAGGTGGCAGTGCTATCGCTGGGATATCGCAGGTTCTCAATTAACGCATAGAAACCGGAGATCAAGCGAACAAATACACCGTCGATCAGTCAAGCAACTAAGATAGCCCGCAGGCAAACAAGCGAAAGGTCGGAAACAAACTTCTGGCTTGCATCTCAGGCTCCGATTCGGACACGTCCTCATCATCCTCATCGTCCTAGACTCTGGAGCCCCCGCGTCCAAAGCGCATGCTTCGCAGCTTGGCCTCTAGTCCGACAATGAACGAAGAAGGACGAGGAGGTGCGTCCTCCTCAGCGAGCCTGCGGTCACCGAGCTGGTGCCATGAGAGAAACTCTTCGGAGACTTCGGAGTCGACATCCTCTGACCTTTCCAGGGACCCCGCAACGAGAGCCATGCAATCCCGTACCTTCTCTCCAAAAATCTGGCTGTAAGCCATTTGATGCCTTTACTCCGCAGCATGCAGGCTACCGTGGCCCTAGCTGGGACTTTGTGTGAACCTATAGATCTTACCAACCTTTCCTTAACGTTGACATGTTCTGAAGCCGTTGACTCCAACATCCACGGCACGGTCGAAGTTTCGATCTGGCAGAGTTGCTTTCGTTGCTACAGCTGCTGGAGAAAAAGTGTGCGCGAAAACGCTGATGAGGCGATGTGGGGGCATTCATGATTCCAGCTGAAGCATACCAGTATTAATGGTAGCGAGGCACAGTTGCCCTGCGTGTGTGAGTGTATCTTCGTGCTGATGTAGACATGCAGTGAAGCTTCCCACACGAATCAGATGCTTGTGATGCAAAAGCTTCTTCCGTAGCTGAGTGCGATTGGCGAAGCCAAGAACCCACATCGTTCACAGTCCGGCCCCGTGGCTGTCACCCGCCCGAATCACACATCCCCGAACTGAAACGGGAGCCCGTGAAGCTTTCCAACATGCAATGCGTGGAACTCCGACACCCTGAAATGCCTTCACCAAGGGACCAAGTCCCTAAACCTCACCCCATAATAACTTCGAAGCCTCTACGTGGACTCCCGAGTCCCGAGGACGGATGTCGGCAGCTCAAAGTCACAGGTCGCCGCGCGGGCGGCCAAGGCCCGGAAGAGCTTTCGAGGGTTTACGTCGGTCGGTGACTTTCTAGCAACTCGCTGCGCCTGTCCATTAAGTTTTTGTGTAGCCTCAGCGTTTCAATTTGCAAACGTGGAGTTGAGGGTTCAGGTGCCCTCAACTACGCACAGGATGCACCCAGAGGATCCCAGAGCAGCCGTTCTGATCCGAAAAATATTCTGAAAGAACATGTTGTTGGGTAGGCACTGCACACAGGCTCGTTTCACAAATTCCTCGATGTGAAAACTTTCTGGATGCTCTATATTACGGTGCTGGCTTGCTGTATGCACTGCAGAGGCGGAGATACTTGTGATGGTCATGCGCACTCCCGCGACTTTCGGCATCTGGACCTGTAATAAAAAAACAGTTGGGCGATTGGAACGTGAATCCATGAACGCCCTAAGCCCTTTGTCTTCAACCACGCGGCTCCTGTGGAAGGCTGGCTCAACCCGGAGAAACGGTATGCTTTCATACGGGAACAGGGCTGCAAACAAGAAATATTCGTACTCTGCTCTGTTTGATGGGGAGCGGAAGTACATGATCTGGACGCTTTATGGGGGGGGGGTGGTGACCACCGCTGAATGCAACACATGCAGGCAATGAATGCCGACCTCAAAGTGGACGCCATGGAAGTGCGTCCTGTGCTTGGAGGGAAGTTGTCGTGTTTGAGGATGGAGGGAGTTGAGGTTGGCGGGTGCCACAGGTTGCGACAAAAGACAGTCCACCGAACCCAACCATCATCGACTCCCATTGTCAAGCAGACTCGGAGCCCGAGGTGTTGGACCGGATACAGAAGAAACCTTTGACGACGCCTTTTGGGACAGCTTGGACTGCGTCGTCAATGCACTCGACAACATTCAGGCTGGACTCTCAGACTTTTGCCTGGAAAGGTTTCAGGAGGTTGCACTTTCGGGCATAAGGGTGTGGGTGTAAAATCCTATCCGCAGCTCTCGTGTTGGAGGAGTTCAGGAGTTGGCGATGTCGGGATGAGGGCTGAAGGACCCAAGCATCCGCCGACATGGTGGCAGGGCCCGTGCATGCTTCAAGCCGCGCTTCCCATTGGACTTTCGTTCCTGTGAGTGCCTAAACTGCACTCCTTGAGACCCTTAGGCCAAGCCTTCACCGTGGAACCTCAAACCGTAAAGCCCGAAGCCCAGAACCCTCCGTTCCATCTTTCTTGTGAACTTTTTGAAACCGTGGCTTCCCGAAAGGCCCGGATGTACGTGGACTCGCGGTGCGTCTGGTTTAGCAAGCCGCTGCTCGAGTCCGGGACGCAGGGAGCCAAGCACGGCCATGCCGCACTGTCAACGTGAGGTGTTTTGGGATTTTGGGGTCCAGCAAGGTCACGTCAGGCCCTGCTGCTTCGCCTTGTTTGGGAGGTCTCGGTCCTGATACAGTTACTTTTGGGTTTGCTAGGCCTGGGCTCACAGATGCCCTGGGCCTGCGGTCTGTGGCAAGGGCACCAGTGCTGTAGGGACACTGTGGCTTACTATGGCCTATGGGCTCCAGCTTGGCTGGGTGTTGTCAAACCGACCCTTAATCTCAAGACTCAAGCCTTCAATCGTCAATGCTGTATGTTTATGTCCTGTACACCCAAAACCAAGAGCTTCAGTCTGCTTTTTTCCAAGCAGAGGCTCGGGACAAAGGCCAACGTGCAGGTGGTGCTGCACGATCCTTGGTATCTGAGGATGTGGGCTTACAGGCTTACTTACAGCTTTGTGGACTTAAGGCGATCATGGGCCTTTCCGGTTTTATGCCGATCGGCCAAATGTCGGGCCTCTCCGGGCTCACGAATTCGAGCTGTCATGAACGACCATGGGGTCGACATCAGTAAAAAACGCAGAATATAGATCTGGATATGGAGCTATACCATCGAGTCCTGCTTCCGGGCGAAGCACAGCCCTCCAACAGCCACTGACAAGCCTAAACCCTCGCAGGCACACTGCCCCAGGCAAAAAACTTTAACGCTGTTGTCTCGAACACAGCAAAAAAAACAACAGCTGCCTGTGTGCCAAAAGTTTCTCAGGGTCGCAGCGGATCGAAGCTCCCCTGAAGCCTGAAGGCCCAAGATGACCCAGTCCTACGGGGACTCCCAGGAGCCATGTGCATTGCTCCTAGTGGGAAGGGTTGAAAGCAAAGCTTCTTTGGGGAGGGGGTGAGGTTGCGTGTGGCTCAGTCATCCTCGGGTCCGCGAAACACATCTTAAAGATGTATGGTTTCCAAGACTCCGTTCTGCCCGGCAGGCTCGTGAAGTCATGAATCCCGAGCTGCCGCAAGCCTGTTGAATTTTTTCCAGTATGCTCACCCTGCATGGAGGATCCTCCGGAAGAGTCGATCCCATTATGCACCGTCAAGGCTCAGAACGGTGTGTGTGTGTGTGTCAGTGTGTGTGTGTGTGTGTCGAACTTCTGGAGTTTGCGTACGTAAGCAAGCCCTGCATGCAAGAAAGACTAGAGCCGTCACCGTTCATGCTCTGCCAGCGACTGGTTGAGGTTCGGTCGCCGGTTTTAGGGTTCAGTGTAGTATGTGCTGTGGCCGCACTGCTTGTATTCCATGCTCTCTCTCGCTGGCTGAAACCTGTCCATGTTAGGTGCCATCTCAAAGACATCCTGACAACCCTAGTCTCCTTGGACACGAGGTTTTGGGGCCGAGCCATCGACGCCCGAAAGCTTAAAGCTCTGAGCACTCAAAGCTGTCAGGGTCTCACAGATCCAACCGATGCATCCGACAGATGCGGCACGGCTCTTCCATTCCAGTCAGCTCCAGACACTCCGCATTTTGCACACCTAGGAAGTAGAGCTCTTGCCTCCTTGTCCACCCTGCTCAGCACTTCCCGAACGCCATCGAGCATACCATCGAGTGGGCCATCGACTCAGTCTAACTTGAACACGGCAGTGGGCATGTTGAGCCCTTATCTGCAAAATGCCGCCCTCCTTCGTGCAATGCGCTTGTGTCGACATTCTTGGCTTTCCGATCTGCAGATGTATCTGTAGATGTTTGACATTCCCACTTGCAGGTTGCCATCACTTCTGAAAGAGACGAAGTGCTGGATGATATGGCCTTGAACACACCTTGCCCCAAATCATCCTGGTCGAACTTGGTTTTAGCGAGCCAAGCCTTTCTTCTGCAGCAGACCAGCCTCCAAATTACGTGAGTTGGTCCGGGACCTTGTGCATGAGGCATGTTCCCCAAGTGCTGCAAGCACAGAGGCCCCAAGCCGAAGGATGCAGTTGTTCAGGAACCAACAACTACCCTGGGTACATCCGAACGGGCGCAGAAGCCGGGCATCCTTTCATGTCGAGATGCAGGTGGCGCTCCCGCAGCGGCCGAAAAACTTGCACAGCCATGCTTGCTAATGGACGTCGCTTGTGCATACCGGCTTCTTTGTGGGACAGACTCGATGGATACGATTGTCGGACAGACCGTTCGAAAGGGATTGCACGTATTGAAGTAAGGGCTTCTAAACGGTTCTCGCGAAGACCAGTCCAACTTGTTTATGGATTCAGGGAGTGCTCGAATCTTGGCTCTTTCTTATAGGTGTGGAACCTGCCACCGGTTGGACAACAAAGTCCTGCAAGCTTGAAGCTAACGCCCCCAGGCTCTAAACCAAGAAGCCGTCCCAAGGCCCGAGAGGCATTCGAGCAGCTGTTCGTCGAGACCCCTCGCGAGGACAACACATGTTGCACAAACGTCTAGCGGCCTAGCGCAGCCAAGTTTCTGTGCCAGTAATGGCGTAGCGCATCTGAGCGGATCTGAGCGTAAGGCTTTGAGGTGAGCCCGGTAACCTGGAAGCCATCCGGTCGATCCCTTCAATCACGAGCCTCGGAAAAAGAGAGCGCTCCATCAGGGCAACAGCTTCCTCGAAGATCCGGAGTCGTGCCCCGTTGACGACATGCTGAACTTCGAGTTCCAAGTGGATGTTACTTGTTTTGTTCCGATGGTTGGCTCTTGGCTTGGGGATTGCAGTATCTTTCGCTGCCAGACCCCCTCCAATGCATCATGCGCTCATAGCCGGTTGTTTGCTTTTGAAGGCACCAGGCATACCAAAGCCCCCGCCAATCTCGGCATCTGACCGGGCACCCATTTGTCCTAACTGATGTTGGC